GCGAGATGGCCCAGAGGGCAGGAGAGATGCGGGGCTGGCTTCTGTGAGCGAAAGGGATGAATGGTTCCGTATCTGACTCGATGTTGTCACAAAAGATCCCGAGTTTGGACTAGTTTTGATTATTTTTCCGTGTGGCGGCTTTCCTATACAGTGAGAAGCTGTTTGGGATCGAGAATCTTGTAATTCCCCTCCGCCCCCATCCCTTGAAGTCACTGGTCTTGGAAAGTTGGGGCTTCCTAAACCAAAACTGGTTGTTTGTCCAGAGTGGAGACGCCTGGGCTCCGACTCTCTCCATCAACCCGGGTTTGCTTGTGTGTGTCTTTCTCTAGCAGGTACCGATCTTCCCATCGTCTTTCATGCTCCTTTGCCTTCATGCCACACTCCCCGTTGTGATTTCTTGATGCTCATTCGCTCTTCACCTTTCTAGTTCTTTGTTATTTTTTTCATGTCATTTCACTATTGCTTGGAGTACTTCAAAAACAGGTTGTGAATGATAAAAACAAGCTGCCTGTTGAATATTTTTCAGCAAATTCTTTTGTAGTATGGTAATTGTTTTGGTTTTCATGGGCGGTTTTATTTACTTTATGCCTGATAGCAACTTCTGGAGCCCCAGTAGAAACACTGACAAATGCAGCCAGCCTCCCCCCACGTCGTTTTCATCCCCTTCCCTGTCCTCCACACACACACACACTTGCCTCGCTAAATCATCCATTTGGATGGCTGTGCTCTCTGGTTGGGTAAATCGTGCAGGGACAAGATGTTTATCTTGGGAAGGAAGACAAGGGACTGACTATATTCTAGATGTGTTCTGTTTTCCTCTCTCTTCTGACGTCTGTGTATAGGTCCTGGGAAATAACTGATTTCTACTTGAGTAGGAATTGCACAGGTTCCTTTACTGCTGGGCTTATTTTTTTTTCTGTCGTGTGCAGTAATATTTGAGGGTTTGAATGTTGTTTGGGATTTTGTTTTAAATCACATAACACCAAGATGTATTGTTAAGAAACGTCGGTTTCAATCAGTTACCAGGGCATCTACAAAAAGTTTGGAGTGCTTTCTTTTTCTCTCCTGGTATAAATGGAAATTTATGTAGGAATGTCAGCTTCTACGTGTCTCCTTAGCAACGTGAATCCTTTGCCCCTTCTCCCTGTCTCCTGAAATAGTATCCCCTTGATTGCAGAAAGACTTTTCAAATGGCTTGAATGAGAACCTGCTTCAAATCCCTCCCCCCCCGCCGACTCCGCACACACTTTATTGGGCTCCCCCCTCGATCCATCTCTCCCTGTCACGCATGCGTGTGTAGACACACATACGCACAAAAGTGGGACGTTAAGAAAAGCAGGACAGCTCATGGAACGGCATAAAAGGACAGTAATCTCTCGTGTTCCTCTACTGGTCACCTGTCTGTTTGTGGGAAGGTGGAAGATGAATGGGTGAGGACGGATAGGAATGAAACATAGTTTTGTTGGATGCTATGTGTTGAAAATCTGTCCTTTCCAGGTGCTTTCTACTGTCATGTGCCCAGACTCTTGCCTGTCCAGTTTTATTCAAGCTCCTTGAATGAGCTTTACCCATTTTTCTCAAATACTTTCCAGTCTAGTGGAGGCAGGTTTCAAAAGCTACTGGTGAAGAAGTGAATGATTGTTTTACTTGAGGTGACTGGAACAAGCCCTTCACTTTCCTCATGTTTGGCACACAATGCTGCATTCTGAGCAGACCTGAAATATGAGAAACTGCACCGTTCTCCCTTTGCCTTCTGCTGGTGTGTTGCAATGCCATTAAAGTCAGTAGGAGGACTCCCAGTAAGTTCACCAAGTTGGATTGGGCTCACATTTGAGACCATTTTGTGTGCTTGCTTTCATATTTTAAGTGCACCTTCCTCTTACATTGAGAATCTAGCAAGCAGTGTATTTTGGAGATAGTGGAGAGCTCCCACAGGGAAAAGCTCTTTTAGTTTGATACCGGTGCAGGCAGCTTTGCAGCTAGCTAGCTGTGAAAAGCAGTAATACACACAGGAAAAAAGGCATCTTCACCCATGGTTTTAAGAGATTTACTTCATCATCCCTTGAAGGAGAGCACCTCAAGTGGCATCATCAAGGGCAAGCTCCTGCTAGAAGCTGTTAAAGCATATTTGAGGTTTAATTAAAACCTTTTGTTGTAATTAGATGTAGGACCCCTGACTGCTGTCAAAAGGGCAACTTGGTAGTGGAGAGCAGAAGGAAATGTACAGAGCACAATTGCATTGGCTGTTATAGCCAGAAATAATCCCTCATTTTTCCGTGAGCATTGCTAGTGTTTGGAGTATGTATTCTCACATTCAGTCTTTCACTGTTCCAATGGCTTTTTTTATAACTTGCAAGCAATCTTTTTTTTTTTTTTTTTGTAATTGCAGGAGCTAGAAAGGTATTCTTGCATAACCCTTGTCGTCTTCTTCCCTGATGAAATTCTAAAATTCCTGCTATCAGCAGCTTCAGGAGCTGAAAAACTAGCAAAGTTGCCAATGTGGAAAGCTTTGTGATAAAATCTTGAGATCCAGAAATGCAGCTGTAAAGTTTCACCAGCTGTCTGGGCATAAAACTATTTTCTATGATCAAAGCTTAACTTGGCTAATGCACAAGTTGTCTTTAGGTCAGCTCTATTTTAAACTCATGTGTCTTTAAACAATTTTTTTTTTAGATCTTATTTGAAATGCATTGTATCTAATTCATGATGGTTCATTTACAGATTTATCAAGAGTTATGTTAGGAATATTTGTCTTTCAAAGCATTAAAATTGAATGCATCCCATTTACAACTTCTTGGTGTGTCTCTACCTGTACAGGTACTTGTCTTCTTCCTGCAGAATTAATAACAGTAAATTTGAATTTGTGCAATAGACTACAGCCATTATAGCTCTTTAAATCAAAAATACACATATATGATGTGGAAGAAATAAATGGCTCCATAGAATCTGATCTGCAGGTAAAGATTGTGTATTTTGACTTCAATACATTTATATGCTATTCATAGAAAACAGAGGCTCCTTTGCAGCATTTCAGTTTATTGTGAAAACAGCATATATAAAAATACATTTGAATGGTTTTGTACTGATTAACTATATTCATTCTGGTGAATGTGGGGGTAAATGGCTTTGTTACTTTACAACCTGTGTATTTCCTTATGCAACATTCAGTTTTCTTTAAGAATATTGTGCTCTTTTAGAACTGTCCATGAGCGTTTGAAAGACAAAACATTCTTGAGCAACAGGGTCTCCAAATGTGTTTAAACTTTGTGATGAACAAACCATGAAGGTAAGCTTAGCTTACAGCACAGTGCAGTAAACAACTTGAGTCTAGTTTTATGCTTGTAATTTTGTTCTGATTTGTTCTTAAAATAAAAATAGCATCAGAGGCTGTTCATTCGGTAGCACTTCAAGGGGCTTAACCTTAATTATACATTAGGTGCAGATATCTGAATTGACATGCCTGAATAGTCTTGGATGGTATCTCCTTGTTTGGAATTTAAGGAGTTGTTCCAAGGGGAAATTGCTAGCTCAAAAGCAGCTTCCTCATTAGAAGATCTGGATCATTGCTCAGATTTGATGTTGACATGTATTTGTAAAAAGCTCAGCAAGGCTGGTAGTTTGCTGTAAAATAACATAAGAAGAACTAATGTAATTTTACTAACCTGAAAAAAATGGCTCATACAATGTAAAGAGGAATGAATAAAACATTCCCTCTGGTTTTGAAAACTGTAGTCTGTAATTTTGTGTATTACTCTAATAATCATCCCCAACACTGTATCTGAAGGTGGATGTAAAATCAAAAGCCATACTACTTCAAACTTAGGTTCTAAGACTCTGATTAAGCTGACCTAACTTTGAAGTTGAGTGTAACTTGGAGATTGGCCCTGCTTTCCATGGGGAGCTTGACTAGATGACTTCCAGAGGTCCTTCCCAACCTAAATTATTCTGTGATTCTATGATGGCTGATACTCTGTTTATACCTGATTTCTACTTGGCTTCTTCAACTTGTGCAGAATGCCTTAAATTGGTTAACTATCCCTCACAGTAGCCCTTGATAGAATATTTTAAGGTCTGATCCCTCTTTTACAAATGGGCCAGTTTTTTTAGCCTTAGACTTCCCAAGGCCATGCTCTGTGGGTACAGCAGATCTGTCACTCCTCTTCCGCAGTCTGGACCTTTTAGTATGATGGAGCCTTCCACTTCAGCCACCCTTCTCCAACCAGCTGAGATGTGGTTAGAACACATCTGTGTTCTACAAACATGTTCTTCACATACATGAAGTTTGTATGAGTTTATCTGATCAGGTGAAGAGCACTAAACACCTTATCAGTGATAATACTCTTAAAGAAAAAAAAAAAAGACTCGTAGCTATAATGGGTTATTGTTACTGCTGTTGTTCATTACAGTTGTAAAATCAATAGTGATCCCACTGTGTCAAGATTTATTAAATAAGATGTTCCTTCTGTTAGGAATAATACAAGTAGTTTTAATATTTGATGAGATTTTTCTATTTAGAATTGCATAGAGTGATCTTGCCTCTCTTACTAATTTGTGGCCAAAGCTGACCACGTAAGATTCTAGGTAACAAGCAGGAGGAGGGGTAAAGTCCATCCAGCTGTATTTCTTTGTGTTTCACTTATTCCAGTTCTTTAATATGAAGGCCATCATTTTGATGGGAAGTACTCCTGAAACTCTTTTAAATGCTAATTGTTTTTCTTAAGGAACAATGGAATGAGTTTTGAAAATTGCAGAGGATTGCCAGTTTGCTTGAAGAACACTGGTAACTGTGGAAAATAATTACATTCCTGTTCAGTTGCAAAGCATGCTACTTCAGATTGCTAAAAAGTAGTAGCATATACAGAAGAGGTCAGAAAAGCTGGGCTTTTCATGAGAAGCTTGTATAACACATCTCCCACACTCCTTTCCTAATGACATAATTCTAAGATTTCCAGGTTTATGTGAAGTTCTTGGAGTTGTGGGTGTGTGCAGTTGTTTGGGGGTTTTTTTGTTATTTTTATTGAATGAATGAATAGCCAATAATTAAAATGGCATAGTAGCAAGCTAATCTCAGAAGAATGCCATATATCCAGTGGAGGAAATGCCTAAGTACGTGCTGTACTATTCTGTGAATGAATTATAGCTTACATGATTTTCTGTAATGCTGTGCTTGTCTTGAAGACCTTTGTTGGCAAAAGTGATATACAATGCATATTGCCTTTTAAATGATAAAATAAAGCTCTATATAATGGCACCACTTAATTCTTTACTTGAAGTTGTGCTGTATTTTAAAGATTTTACTCTGTGATTTTGGAAATAAAGGCAGGCCACAGCT